TCGATTTTTCCATAAAATTAACCGAGCGTTAAAAATTTTCATGACTCATGTAATCCATGTTACCTACATAGGTACAAAAAACGATTGAAAGCTTAGGTTATATCCATACCATTATCATATTCCATTATTATTATTATTATTATTATCAATATATTTTACCTGATGTTCGGAATCGGGCCAACTTGCCGTACATCCTTGATCCTGATCGTCACTGTATTCACTCATATTCCTTTCTTTTCCTTTGTCTTCTACTCTAAATTATACCACCACTACCCTCCTTTCAATATAATCGCACAAAAATCTATAAACTTTTAATTATCCAAACACGATCATTGTTGCATCAATATTATTGAGTTGTCTTTGTTGTAGTTTAGTGTTTCCTTTGTAATATTGAATGTTTTGCAGCCGGCACAGACAGGACAAACACTATCGATGACAAAAAAAGGTCAACGTTCCATTATTACCACTGTCAGCGTTATCATAGTGCGGCGGCGGCGGCAACGGCTTCAACATCGGCGGCGGCGATGAGCGTGTGTGCACCGCGACGCTTATGCATATTTAACGAACTGATATGAGTTTATTGCTTCGTCATTTGGCTCATTCTCTCGTTTTTTCATTGATTTTCCCCTGCACGATACACTATATTACTAATATGTCACACAATGTAGACGATATAGTTTACTAGTTTCACATTTGCGAACACACAATCTACACAATGATTGAAAATCATTAATGCAACATTATTATTATTATGATTATTTTTATTGAAACACGCTTTGTCTCTTTGTTCTCGCAAGCAGATTGTGTCCGCGCACAGAATTGTAATGTTAATACGATTTTTTTTCAGTGTTTTCCGGTCGGGAATTGATGCTATCGTCGATTCAGCTGTTACACTCCACTATCCGCACCCACTTGTAGTTAAACCGCGTGATTATAGCGTTATCCTTATTTTTCGCCGACTTTTCGAAACGAAAGCGTGTTGTGCCGCCCGTCGTGCGTGCCAGCCTACAAGCGTGCGCCCATCGGTCGCTTTCTCCGGCGGCGGCCGGGGCGACCGCGCACGGATACACACGACTCACTCCGAGTCGGCTTCGATCCGGCGCACACAACCACACATACACCGCGCAACAAATATCTACGAGTTTGTTTTGGTGTATTGGAGGCGGTTACCGCCCTCGAGATACTTTTCTATAAAACCATGCAAAATGTACGCAGATATATCTATTCCATTCAACTTATGTTTTATATTTGGTATAATTTATGTTTTTAGGTTAGAAATTTACATAAAATTTCGTTTTTTAGTTTTTTTTTTGTTTTTTATGTAGGTAAAACTTAATTAGTATGTAATTTGATGTGATAGTAAAGGTAATTAGGGTCTGTGTCCACTTTGTCCAAAACTAACCTTTCACAGATTTCGCACCAGCGAAGGAAAGTTAGTCCGATGTAGGACACGAGACGCCCGCCCCCGCTACTCGAGCCTCAATAAACCACATAATCCACACACGTGGCCTGGATGCAATCATCCTTTAAAACCCATGTCTGCGCGTGAAACACCCGCCTGGACGGGTTTGCATAATGCAACCACAGTGGTTTAATTGTATGCAACCCAACATACACACCACTTTGGTAGCTCCCAGTGTAAATATTTAGGGTGTGGCATTTACAGACGGGTGAGTGTGAAGTTGGGCACGAAAAAGTTTTAACAGGAAAATTGAAGTTCGACGCAAGTTATAATAAAGTGAAAAGTGGGAAAGTTCGGAGCCGGAAGACATTATCGCGCGAAGGGCATTCGAAGGGAGTTGACGCCTCGCTTATTATTCACTTCGCGAGTCACATATTCAAACGCGCGTGACACATGCCCTTCTTGGTGTTTGAGTGGTGGAGAGATGGAGGAGGAGGTGGTTTTGTAAGTGGCTGAGACCCGAAGCGATCAAAGTAACATTCAACATTCAATGCTTTCGGGGAAGTCGCGAGGGTTGAAATTTTTAATTAAATTAAAAGCTCATATCTGGAAAGTGTGTTTGTGTTGTCAAAGTTTTAAGGTTAAGACATCAATTTTATGAGATTTTTTGGTTATGTTTTGAAAGTTATTTACAAATTCAATTATTTGTTACTAACTATGAATCTAGGGACTTTTCTTGCAACTTAAATTAATATTTGTATATTTATTTATTCAAGTATTTAATAAAATTAATTGCGATAAATTTCTTTTACGTGTGTTTATGGCAGAATTCTAATCGGAACCAGATTACTAGGAGCCAGACTGTCATCGGCCCGGCTAGCTCAGTCGGTAGAGCATGAGACTCTTAATCTCAGGGTCGTGGGTTCGAGCCCCACGTTGGGCGCAACTTTTTCATTTTAATTTTTATAATTTACAACTATATTCATCATAAAATTCAAATAATTATTTTTAAAACTATTTTTTAATATAAATAATTACGTTTTAGTTTATAAATTTTAAACACGCGGTGAGTGTTGCCTAATTTTCAAATTTTAAACCTGAACGTGAAGCTAATTAATATTATTACACAAAAGGTGAAAGACATTCAGCTTGCGTGCACCCCGCACGCAGCGGCCCTTTTTAAACGCATCGATTATTCCGAAAGCCAGACGCCGACTTGCGCCATTAGCGCGCGCGAGCGCGAGCGACTCAGAGGCGGAGGCGGCGAGTATTTTTAGGAGATCCGATTCAGATACCCCGGCTGATAAGAAAAATCGGTCAATGCGGCCGCCGGCCGCAGCAACAAACCGGCCGGCTCGCATTCACATTCACCTACTTTCTTTTCTTTCCTCCGCTCCCCTTCGCACTGCTATGCGTGCGTATTCTCACCTATATACGAAGAAGCAGTGGCTTGCGAATGGTGAAAATGAATTCATGCATATCGTTAAGTGTTCGTGAGCGCGCGAAGAAAAGCGAAAACGAACGTTTTCGGGAATCCGAGTGGAAATATTAACATTTACCGAGCGAAAACCGACCGCATTTCAGCGTTAACATCAATACTTATTCTAACCTTGGTTTGGGTCTTCACCTAACCTAGAAGAATTAAGTGTGCAAAGTTTGTTTTTCTCAAGTGTCGCTTCGCATTTGTTATACATATTTTATTAATCTTTCGTGCGCCACGTGTTAGCCGTCGAGTTCCGCCACCCTCGGGGATAATTAGGTTTAACTACTTAATTATAGAGCATAACGGCCGTAAATTATAAACGCTACGATACGTCTCGGCTTCAAACTCGTAAAACCGCCGAAAATAAAATGCAAAAATGCAAAACATTCGCTATTAATTTTAATTCATGTATAAAAAATAATATTTTGTGAGTTACAACACGTATAACTCAAGAACGGCTGGACGGATTTTGATGGTCTATGATTTTTTGGATTTGTCTTGGCCTCAAATAGATGAATAACCATTAAAATATCATAAATTATAAGTTTAAAGGGTGTTAATTGAGAAATGAAAATTAGTATAGCGATTCAATCATAACTATGCCTAATTAATTGAATTCTAGATGGCGCTAATGTGCATAATAAACAACTCTTGTTTTTTTTAACTAAAATTTTGGTCTTAAACAAAAAAATTAAAAATTATTTCAATTTTTACTAAAAATTTTACCAAGAAAAATCTTGTAATATAATAAAAATATAAACAAGTTTGCGATTTTCCGCTCGAATGCATGTTTAAAATCTGTGCGACATCGTGACGTGTATTGTGACCAATTTGCGAGACATTTATCAATGTCTTGCGACAATGTGAAACTTACATCACACTCTCGCGCGAGGGAGACATGCGTGCGAAGAAAATGGAAACCAGAAAAAAGTGTTTAACTTTACATGCACCCTTCGAACTATGCGAAATAAACTATGTGTGTCTTTTTCGGCCCGTTCGGCGCCTGAATTTTTTTCTCCTGGCGAATTTGAGGCCTAACCGAGCGAACACATCAATCATTTTTATTTTTCGCGAGTTTTATGCTGAATAACCGCTACCCTCGAGATGTGGACGACACGAATGTTTACTTTTAAGACCATTAGAACCGGAAACATTAAAAACTCCAATCTGTCAAACTTGAAAAAGTTTTTTCTTCAAAAAAATTTAAAAGCTAGTTTAACATAGATGGCGCTGGTTTATAATTACAGTTATCTGTAATTAAGTACCAATTGACATTTATAGGTCGAACACGCCACTCTTAATCAGGATTAAATTACGAACTGAGTGATTTTTGTCATGTAATGAAATGTAATGTAATGTAATGCAATCTAGGCAAAGTGATTTAATTGATTAATACGCGCCGAGATTGAAATTCACAGCGAAGGATCGAATAAATATAATTTGTTTGTTTTGCCTCGGCGGCGGCGCGGCAGTGGCGGCGGCGACGCGCTTGCCAATTGCCGGCAGGACTCTTCCGCTCGCGGCGCCCGCACCGCACAACCAGAAATCCAGATATCCGTCCGGGCGCTGGGAATTAGATTAATGGAAGCACATCCCGATCTCGATACCCGATTCCCAGATTCCGCCTGTGCTTGCATCGGCAAAAAAAATTCACAGATTGCTTTTCTCGATTTCGCACTCCACGCGTCACACACACTCACAGCGCGATTTGGACACTGATTTTTGTGTTCAAGTGACGGTAATAAAAATATCAACATCGGGGATAAAAAGGGTAAAAATTGACCAAGATTTGAAGATTAAGTTATTTAAAGTCAAAATGTCTTTATCACGGCATTAAAGTAAATTTTAATTCTTTAATATTTGTTTTTTTATGTAATTTGGCAGAATATTTACTAAAAATATCAGAAAAAAATTGAAAATAAACTAATTATAAGAGAAAAATATTTTTTTGGGTTAGGTTATGATCGTTTGACATTTGACGTTTGACAGCTGATCTCAAATAAATTTTATTTGAGGTTATTTCTGACATAACCAAACAAAACTCCTTAATGAAGAGGTTATGAAGTTTTTCAGACAGATATTTCTCCATAAAATTAATAAAAATTTCCACATTACCTTAAATTACGTCCTGACAAATTGTCCCGTTTGCAAGTCTTGAAAATATCCTAATATCCTGCAACAAAGAAAACAAAACCTGTTAAAAACCCAAAGTTTAAAGTGAAAGTAAATATTTTAACCCCACTTTCACCGTGAACGTGAAAATATTTCGTGCTGAATACGATTAAAAATTCGCCGGCACGATATTCCTAAATTCTTAAAATAGTTCACCCAACTTGCTGTCATTGAACTTAACCTCACAAACACGAAAACAAACATATTTTACGCTGATTTTCAGATGGCTTAATCAGAAAATAATTCAATTAGCATGCTAACAAATTGTCGATTAGCCGTGATTACTTAAGTAGCTCGTTAAACCTGGCGCCGCCACCATAATAAAGCAGTTAGTCATTTGTTGCGCTATTGTTGTGTGAACAGTCAGGCATCCAGCATAACACTTGTTTGTTTTGTAAGGCCTTTTTATCGGCGATTACACTTGCGTGTTATTTATATAATTGAACTTGTGGAGTCGAGCGGCTTTGAAATTTTGCATGTTACGACACTAATAGACTAATAGCGGTAACATTTGTCGGGCGTGCGCGGCAATTGTTTTCGAAGCCTTTGTCATGCGGTAATTTCCAACCAACACAAACACACAAACAATTAGACATGTTTACTTGTATTTATGTTGTAGATATTTATTCATACGCTTAGAATATGTTTGCATGATGAATCCGTATGAGAGAAGATGGCGTAATGCCAACGTTATAAAACGGAAGTGATAAATGGCCGCCATTTTTAAATTTTAAAGTTTTAAACATCCATCAGACATAAAAACGAAATTTATTCTTCCGTTAATTCGGTATTAATTTTTGATCGCTGTGTGTGAAAGTTCAAGCGTCATTTCAAGACGTTTTCACCTTTCACCTCTTGCATGGCACGATCTTTACTGTTTTTTTGTGTCGTCGCCTTCTTGCGCTTGTGCAAAGTTGAATTCCGAGCCGAAAGGTAGCAATTTAAAATGTATTAACTCGTCGGCAGGCCGGCTCTGCTGACGTCCGCATGAACATTTGAACACACGTTGCTGCCACCACCGTCGAATCGTTACTTCTTCCGTTTTTCAGGAATAGGACCAAGTCGTTAACCGCCATCGTCAACTCTGAACACATACAAGTACCTATCGACCGCACACGGCCAAACTAAACATTTTAACAACTTTTTTTTCCTTTTCTAAAATAAATTAAACAAAGGTTACAATTGTCTCGATTAGAATCTATTTTGGTTTCGGTTTGATTTGATTCGAGATTGCGAGAAAATTACCACGCATCTGCCGCCGTTAAAGAAAAATTGGGCACCCAGCCTCAATTTATTGGAAAACTTCTGCTTCGATTTCGAGCAGCGCGTCGCCAAACAACACCGCCACCGAGGCTTGAAAATCACGGAGTTATTTCAAACGAAACAATGCCGCGAGGCCCTGCTTGCTGCAAAAATATACTGGTAGAAAACACATAAATTCAATAGCAATGCGCAACCAAGTGAAAGCCCGAACGAAGGAGTTAAAGTCACTCACCTCCTGGCGCATCTGTCGGGTCCACAAATGCCGCCAACACAGATTGTAAAATACCGGCTTAACCTGATTTCGGACAATCAAACAAACACATCGAGCATCACGCTGGTCGTGAAACGATGCAGGCGTTAAATATTTACGCGCGGAATGTACGATTTTATTGCCAAAATGTGTTTTCAAAACCGATTTACAGCTTTAAAAGAAACACTGTTCCTGCGTGTTTTTGTTTATTGAGTTGCCCGCGTAGTCAAATCAATAACCTAGTATATCACAAAATACTAACTCGTGGGGCTTTTGGAAGGCGTGATATTTAATGTGTATGCCTGACGGCTTATCATAATGTTAATCTGCGAAACGCACTTCATGCGATGCAATTTGTTCTATCGGAAATGGAAAAAATATAGGTACTGCAAACGTTAATGGCGTTACTGCCGCAAACACGTACCGCATGTAGTTTGCACGGTTCTGCTGAGTTTAATTTCTATTCGCAGTTGAAACGTACGGATAAAAATTGCGTAAATTTTTATGTAATGCGAATACGGAGACGTTTTATTTGCTCCGAGATACCGTTCTCCTGGGATAGTAAAACCACAAATAATATACAGGATGTTCTGCTTTTGCGTAGGCAAAAAAAAACAAAACAAAATAAAAACTTTAAAAAGTTACGAATATCATCTTGATATACTGGCTTATCACTAACACAATGGTTTGTTTGTATGGGAATACGTATACAAATGCTTAAAAATTAAAATCTATTGTTTGTACGTCTGACTTATTTCGAGTGTTTTTCTTGGGAAAAGGAATGGAAATATCAAGAGGTCAACATTGGCGTGGAAGTGCAAAAATGCGCAAATCTACTTGCCGCTGGTCTTCTCGACATTTTACAAAGCAAACATTTCAATTTAGTAGGGCGCAGAAAGCGCTGGCACTTTATTTTTATCGTTATTATACTTGTAAGTCATCCGGGGGCACGTAAAACGCATAAAAGTTAAATTTTACTTCAACCACACCCACACGCGCTCAGCAATTCGCGTATAACTAGATTATCACGCTTATCATTAAACAGATTTCCATCTTCGAGGTTATAAAGTACAAAAGCTACATTTCTAGACGATATTTTTACACTTTAACGAGGAAAACTACTTTTATAATTATTTATAGTAACAATTTAATTTTTTCCTGAATTTATTTCTTTGTATGAGTTGAGAAGTGTTACTAATGCACTTTAGCGCCCTCTCGTGTTCAATTATTTAACTATAACTATGATTGAATCTCTATACCAAGTTTCATCCCTTATTTAACACCCTTTAAGTAATATTTCTTTGATATTTCAATAGTTATTCTTCTTATCAAAACAAAAACCAATCCAATAAATCAAAAATCACCAAAATCTGTCCAGCCGTTCTTGAGTTATAAGCGCTGTAACTAACACAACTTTGCTTTATAGACTACCTACCTCGATATATAAATAACTAGTTTCTAATCAAAACTAGCATGACATCGATATTAAATTTAAATCAAAACTCATTCGTATCGAATATAAATTGCAAATTCATGTTTGCCGAACATTAAAATGACTTACCAGTAAAAACATTCAAGGTATAACCTTAAAACCTACAAGTTTGGCCGACTATATAATACGCCATGTTGAAATATGTTTACTTTCCGTACTATATGCTTTCCTTTCCCATAAACTATAGTATTTTTATTCGAAAATAATTTACGACTTTATTTTCCACATCTTGAGTGTTTAATTTATAACCGCAATTTTTGCTGGATTTGTAATGATTTCCGATGGTCTTGAATGAGCATGCGAATTGTGTCGACCGCGCCGGCCGACATTTTGTGCGTAAATATTTACGGCGAACGACGCGTGCCGCTGATTGAAGTTGCATGCAACCCGCACTACAGCCGATGATGTGCTGACAGCCCGCTTTGAATGTGTGTGCGCTTGTCATATTTCGATATCTATCATTTCGACACCGGGTACATTTCAATCAATGCGCAAAATTTAGATTTATTCGCGCGCATGTAACGAAAATGCCGCTTTGATCTCAGTGTAACATTTTAATGCGCGAGATAATAAATCCAAGCACTGCACCACATGTGTAATGGCTTTGTAGCGAAGTATGAAATTTTCTACGAAAATAAATTCAATGACACATACCGGCATATTTGCTTATGTTTACATATCGCGCTGTACCTAAATCACTTTGCTTCACTTCACTTACAGCCAGACAACAACAGCGCAAAAATCTCAACAAACTTTTATTATGCACACACGCGCATATATAAAATATTCGATATGGTTATGTGCGTGTTGTGATGTTTTTGGGTTGCCTACATCGCACACTCCAATTGATGTCTATCCAAGAGAGATCTCGCGACGGAAATCTGAGTAATGTTTCGTGTTATTTTTTCTCTCGACGAGATTCTTTCGATATTTTTCACTCGAATTGCCTCGGCACATTTCTTTATCTGCTTCATCTGCGCAGGGACGAGATGTTAACAGATTTCGGGACTTTGTGCGATTGCAAGCGGCGGTGATTTGTCAACTCGGACGAATTGGGGTTGGTCCGTGGTTCGTGCGGAAGCAAAGTTAACCGGCGACGATAAAACCAACGCTGAGTTCATCAAAACTTTTCGCAATCCCGGCAAACCAACTCAATAAATATTTTAGTGCTACTCAATTATGTCAATTACTATCGATTTCATAAAAACTGCAAGCGCGTTCTGCGCATGTATAGAATATGCTGTCAAAAGCAAGCTGTCAAATGAAAAGTTTTGAAAATTTAAGTAGTTGTTAGCTTTTTCAGGCTGCGTTTTATTTCCTCCGTCGCAAATTAAAATTTATCGTCGTTAAAGTCTTAAATATTTGGGCAGGACGCAATGGGACGTCCGTTCTTCGTCGACCGCTGCGCAAAAGAAGCAAAACGGCGCAACATCTCCGAAGCGCACTTCATAAATTTCCGCTCTCGGACGTTGGGCGCTGGGAAGCGGGGCCGAAGACTCGACAAAAGAAACAAAAGCGACGCGCAAAACACCGCGCACACGAGTGCGTCGCGAGAACGTTTCCTTGAAAAATACTTTCCTTCCGCTCCGAAACAACCCGCGCACAAACAAAACCTCGCCACCATTGAAAAACACAGCGCAGAGCTTAAAGTTAAACATAACCTACAAAAGTATGTATCAATTATATCATTGCTTTAGTATGTGTTGTAGTATTGTATTTTATCATTTGTTGTTAATGTGATGGAATATTTTTGAATAGATTCACATCTCGCATAATAAACGAGTGCATCAATTCGGTACCCGGGGAAAAACATGCGGCATGGAGCCAAGGTTACACGGAAGCGCTTGCCAAAAATAATTTCTTCTCTTTGTCTCGCGACGCCCGAATTTATAGCGCTCGCAGCGGGTCGCGGAACGCTAATAGATGGGGCCGGTTGGCGGCGTGTGACGAAACTGTGTCACGTTCACGGGTAAATAAACGATTGGATACCACCTTCACTGCTCACTGTTCGACTCTAATTAGCAACGTTTTCTAATTGTAGGCTACAATTTCCACATTGTACATACGTACATTTTGTTTGCCTGATCACCTAGGCAACCAACTAGACACGCCGCCATGTTATTGATACATGAACGTGATCGATTCGTTGATTTGCTTGCGGAAAACGAAGAAAACGAGCGCAAACAGCGCACCAAGTCCGGATTTTTGGCAAATGATACACGTCTTGGCATTGTGCTCGCACATTGTTCGCTTGTTTGCAGGTCTCGTTGGCGTTTTATTGCTGTGCGACACACGTTGCGCCAGTGAGTCTTATAAAATCCCCGAATTTATCTATGATCCGCCCGGAATTTCAACTATCGCATAATGGCTTAATTATAACGATGGGACAAATTAGATTCTACCGCTGCGATTGCTGCAAGTGTGCAAAATGCGCTAATTTGCGCTCTTCGCGCGCATTAATTGGATTTGCGCGCACGTAAAACTATTCAACTATTCACGGATAACACGTTTCTGCATACTTTTGACTTGGAGGTAGAGGTAGTTGGTATAATGCGCCAAAGTTTGTTAGTTTTTGAAAACGCGTTAACTTGATTTTCACGCTGACAAACTTGCGTGTTTTCTTATTAGCCGGCGTGATGGACGGTGGAAAAGACGTGAAGTTTTGAGCAAATTCGATGTGAGATAATGAGAATTTGTTGGAGTGTTTTCGTACTTTAGTAGCGTCGCGAATCGATGTTTTACGTGCTATAAATTACTGTAATTGAGCGTAATATCCTTGGAGAATCTGAAATTTCGCGCAAAGCGTTTGATTTTCGCTGAAATTAAATTTACTTGCGCAAAATTAATGCAACAGCTGCTAACATGATTATTTTCGATGAGAAAAATACGAAATACAAAAATAAAAATTTTTAGATGGAAAGAAAAACATGTTTGTGTTTGGAACTGCTTCACAGGATAATTTCAAATCATAAAATATTAATGAAACTTTCATTTGAAACGAAAAAATAAAATATTTTGAGGTTATATTTAAATTAGCGTCCAATAGGGTCATCTCCGACGTTTCTAATATAATTACATAAACCTAACCTCAAATTTAACCTTTACCTTGCCATAACCTCAATTATTAAACTCAAATAAATTTTGAAAAGTAGTTATTACAAATAACACTCATTTCTATAGTTAAATTTAATACCATAACCTCAATTTTAGTTTTTTATATAAGAAGTAGCATTTTAAACACTTAATAAACAATAGTATCCTATTTACTGCTACTCAAAACATGAGCCAGCGTGGCATTTCACCATGTGCGAATTTTATTCGGCGTGAAATCGACGCGGCTTTTACTGCGCGCTGCGTTCGGTTCACGCATTATTGTCGCGTTTATGCGCCGCGCCTGGTAATTAGCAGCGACATTAAAGCGCGCACTCTTTATTGCGCTTGACACATCGTAAGTCGCGGTACGCTCGTGTCACAATACGACAAGCGTGGCAGCCTTCTAGTGCGTGGGTGGGCGCGCGGAAAATTAAGTGTTTTTCGAATTACACGCGTAAATCCGCAAATACGCAAATTCAAAATGGCACCGGTTTCAATTTAATTAAATTTTACTTTATCATTGCGTAATTTTTGTCTAAAATGTTTGGAATTTTGTTTTTTACGTTGATTTTATCATTAAACTAAGTTTATTTTCATAAATTTCCGTGAAAAATTGACCAAAATTAAAAAAAAAATCTCAAAATCCAATTTTTTAAAATCATTTACTTAAAAAACTAAACTTCACATTTAAAAGATGTTTCTATGTGTAAATCACTGGCGCCTCCACCAAATTTTAAAAACTCAATCTAAAAATATCTCCACTCTGGAATTTATACAATTACCATCTGTTTAATACGATTGTAGAACGCAGTGCAATAGATAACAATGACGTCATGAGTATTGTGTGGCATTGTACGCGTCACCAGCAGGAAAGGCCGTTCGTTGCTGGGCCGGTGCGCGCACTTTAAAAATTCTATTAATAATCATCATCAATTCCATCATCAATTCGGCGCGCCGTGAGCTATTCGCCATTCGCGAAAATGTATCGACGCTTTTGTTGGGCTGGCGCTGTATTTTTAGCACCTACTTTTCATTTTCATTCGGATTATTTTATTACGGCCGCGGCGCGCGCGCGAGACAATCCGTTTAAGTGGCCTTCTCGCGTTGTTCGAATACTAAAACTATTCGCGCAGCAGGAAAACATTGCGAATACATACATAGATTACCTCTATAAATATCAAAACTTAAATTGAAAATGTAAACATTCCGATTAAAAGCTCGATTTTATTATTTTCGATTCGTTTTTTAAAGTTTTAATTAAAATGCGAGTGTACGCACGTGGTGCAGTGTTATGAGAGAGTTGTTTGAGGCGTGTTGCTGGATGATGATGGCGAGTGCATGCGGCATTATTAAAATAATTGAAATTTACGAGCGGACCGCGTGTCTCGTGCGGCATCGTGCGTGAGGGCGATTAGAAAAACCTGCCGCCTTTTTCTTTCCTTCGCGTAATAAATTCGTTTAAATCGATATTTCGCAGTCGGAACGTAACGCACTCAGGAATATGGTACGTGTTTACAATATGGCTGCGAGTTGTTCTTTAGCATGCCCGAAAAGAAAAATACTTGTGGTCTAACCACACAAAGTAAGCGTACAATTGAATAAACGAATAATTATCTTGTCAATGTTATTAAAAGAACATTTTTTATGTCAGCGAACAATTATAATAATTAATATGGTGGTAATTCCTTATATTTTTGGTGTTTTCTGAGGATTAAGTTTGGTATTTTTTATATTTGGAATATTTATACGTATAAAAAGATATTTTGTATGTGTGTAACGTATTAACACAAAAACGAATGAACCGATTTGAATCAAATTTTCAGATAATCTTCAGAATAGTTTAATGGGTGATATTGGGAAGTGTGGAAGCAAAAATATAACTAGAAGTGACTTAAATAAGCGATGAAAGTTTGTATGGAGAATATATCGTAGTTATTGTTATAAAAATTGAACTTAGATGGTGCTAAGAGTCATATTTGCATAAAATTCAGTTTGAAAATTATTTATATACTTATGCCATAATTTTGGTCACCGTCTTTCTTCATTAGGCAAATATTCAAGCGCAAAACCGAGATAGATTACTAATAATTCATAAAAAAGTGTTTTTTAATTATTTGCTAGGTCAGCAACCACGTATGCAGCCCCTAAACTTCAATTCATAGTAAAATATACAAAAAATTAATATTTTAGAAGTTAAATAAAAGTAAATTAGTAATTATTATAGGCTTTTTTTGGTTTTATTAAATTGTAAACATTCATGTTTAATTAATTACCGAATTTAATTCGAAATATTCAAACTTTTTTGGTATATTTTACGCTGAACAAAGCAAATAATACTGTAAACATGCTTTTGAAATTATTGATGTGAATTTACCCGAACCAAAATACAACAATAATATTATTTGCCTTGTGATAATTGTAACAGCTGCACCTTTGCCAGTCAGCTGACAGTTCAATAACCAATCGAAAGTAAATATTTATTAAACACTTGCGCATCGCACCATACTATCTATCATAATGCGCACCTCTCTCCGCGCTCGCACTTTTTCTCAGCCGAAAACACGCGTTAATGTTTCAACAATACCATTATTACCATTCGAATGGCAATGAAAAGCCAACTGTTTTCAAACATACCCGTACGCGGTTTTCCTATGCGTGACATAAACGAAACATATTGTGCGCTCAAAACAATCGCCGAATATTATACAAATAAATACATAATTATAATTAGCAAACAATTGCAGCGACGGCGCGCAAACAAAGGTGAAACATGAAGTATGAAGCATTCGCGTGGTTGGTGCAAATATTACCTATTTATTATGTAGGCGTAGCTGAGCGCCCTGTCCTCCTCCCCGATGGGGGTGGCGTCGCGTGGCCGCTGCACCTCTGGTGGCGGCGCTTTAAATCCGGCCGTGCGCTGGTGCACCCCAAAGTTACACACGCGAAATTATTATTAGTTTCAATATGCACCGTGGTTTTTTGTCTGTTTGTTAATCGAACAATAGTGCGGCGCGCATCGCGTGAGTGCAAGGTGTGCGTGCGCTTGGCGATGATTCGCACGCGCCGTTGCCCTGCGGACTGGGACTGCCGGTTTGCTGCTGCCGTCGCCGATACGCCTCGCGCTTGTTATCGGAGGGGCGGTCGGCTCGTCCTGCTATACACACCGCCATCTACAGTCGCACCAGCCAGTTACCTCACATTTGTGTGGATGTACAATGTGTTGCCTATGATTATGACAAAAGTAGAATTTATTTCAATTATAGAAAAACAAAGAAACTATACGCCTAGAACAATTTAATCACGTGGTTTGTTCACTAGGCTGAGATACAGTCTCAAGTCATAAATATAAAAATGAATTTCAACGCCACAGACTTCAAATCTGCACATAAATATCAAAAATAACGAAACAAGTAAAGATATCAATCACTGGCCAGAGGTTGCTCACTGATACAGTGCACAAGTATTAACTATCCCAGTGTTTATCGAAAGAGACAATATTGAAACGAATTGGGATCGAAGTATTGCGGTAAACGCACATACATTTCTCTATCAATGGCGTCCTTTTTCAAGCTGCGTATGAGAGCCGCTTTCGAATAGAATGGGCGATCCGAACACGTAGAGACAACTGCGCGCGCGCGTCAGCGCCACGTTTAAACGCTGCGCATCGTTGACGAAGCTGTTCGCCATCCTTAAAACCAACGACAACAGAATAATATCCTGTTCTTGTCCTTGAAAACCGTCAATAGTGTTGACCAACACTTTCATACGCCTGTTCAAACTAATAAAAATCATATAAAATCGTTGAAAACACATAAAATCATAAAACTTACTTTAAAGTTTCCAATTGCTTCTGTAATTCGATGCGCTGCTCATTGTATGGTGTTATAATACCGATGGTAAGTTGACTTTCTAGTTTAAGCCTACTTATGGTTAATAAAATCATCAGAATTGCTTCGATTTCTTTTAAATTCACATAAGTTTTTGTCTTATTGCCTTCGTTCACTTCAAAAACTAAATACGGCGCGAGAGTTTTTATGTCTTCGCGGCACGGCTGCGGATGTGTAATAAGTTTATCGCAGTAAAACTGTCGATTTGGGAAAGAACAAATCTCTTCGCGCATGCGATACTGCGTGTCCAGCAAATGTAAAGCATTGTGAGATGGAGCATCGCGTAGTACTTTCTGTAACCGGACAAATAACGAACGCGAGAAAAGATATTCTTTCGGAACAAGAGTTTGATGTGGAGGTAATTGGCGTGTATCGCCAACCAGGATAAATTTGTTAACATCCTGCGTCAAGGGAAGCAGTGTATCCGGTTCGGTAGCCTGCGTGGCTTCGTCAATGATACAGCATTTAAATTTAAGCTGTCTGCAAACAAAAAACATACAAATAAAAATTAAATGCTTTGAATAGCATTGTAAAGTAATGTTTTCTTACAGTTTGCGGCTCGGAAACGCGTAGGAACTGCCAATCGTACTGCAAATCAATGTCGCCTTCTCAAATACCAAATTGCGAACCTGTGCCTCTTCTCTATGATACTGTTGAAGGTAATGATTCCTGACAAAATTAGCATACTCCCTTTCTTTCTTCTCTAAAGTCTGGATTTGAACCCCAGCTAAAACACAAATAAAGTAGTTAGTATAAGTGCAACGTTGGTTGCATACAAATAAACACTCACTTTTTAATCTTCATAGCACGTAACGCGAAAACTTCCTCTTCCAGAACGCGATAACTGTGCATCAAATGAGGCGCTTGCTGAAACAACATACTACGCAAATGACGCGCAACGTGATTGTCAACGTGGTAATCTGCCAAATCAGCGGCAGATTGCGGGTTACGCCCCATGCGAATAATCCGCACACGATCCTTTAATGGCTTCGGGAAATCTTTGCGCAACATCACAATACGCCGAACGAGATTCTCAACAGCGGCGTTGGATTGCGCAAGCAATAATATTGCAATACCTTTATCCAAATTCTTTAGGAAATTTAATGTTATATTGACAACAAGATCTGATTTTCCAGTGCCTGGCGGGCCTTGAACCATGAAAAACCTCGAGTTGCTCGACAATGTACAGAATCTCATTGCGTGCATCGCAACTTCCTCCTGCTTCTGATTCATTCGCAGAAAATGATGCAGTTTATTAGTACGGGAAAGTCTGGTGGCCAAATATTGGCCCGGGTCCGGTAGAGAGAATCTGTTGTGCAATAACGCCTACTTTTGAATAATAAAGCGAGTTTCCTTTGGTTAATGAATTGATCCGGAAATCTGAAGAAATAAATAGTTTGCACCCTGGATGTTGGTGGTTCGACGCGTTAAAATAGAGAACATGTGTTTATGCCATGAGATGATTTGCATTGTTGTTTTAATATAGCTGTTGATAAATATTTTACCAAATAACTAGATTTGTATTTAGGTTAGGTTAAATATGTTATACTCACGATCGATATGTGTTCAGTCTGGCCCAGTTTCAGTGCGTTCGCGTCCAACCACGACACCGGTAACAAAATAGTTTTCACTGTTTGCCATAGCGTTTTGTTCTGACCATGCCAAGGAATGAAATTAGCAGGTAGGCAATCGCATAACTTGTCGCCCACCTGTTTTTCACCAATATAGTCTGAAAACAAAGTATCACAAGATCAACATTAATGGTTAAGCAACAAACTTACAAAACAAATGGATTTCAGTATAGTCCCTCATGTCGATCGATTTTCAGGACTTAACGCAACCCAAGTGAGATCCACGATTAACCCGATCCCCAACGAGACAAAGCGCTAAAATGGCGTCGAGTTGTATTCATTGTTTATCCGAAAATATATTTTACTTCGTTCAGTTACGTATTGCTCCAAATATCTCACATCAGAGGAGAATAATTCTGTAACCGCATCAACAATTCATCACTTGTATCATCATCATCATCATCACTGTCTTCAATCTCATAAGTTAATGCATTGTATTCGTTATCGCATCGATCCATTTCGGCGATTTCTTCTTTAATCTTCAAAATTCTTCGTCAACTTCCTGTTTAACTTCATGTTTAATGTGAAGGTTATTGAGAGTCATATTCTCTTCCTCATCATCTATCACAATGATATCATCAGCAATATCCTGTGTTATAATCTGTACATCACTATCTGTTTTAATTGTTATTGCATCTCCAATACTTTGTTTATTATCACACTGATTGTAATTCTGTTCTGATGATGATGATGCATCAATTTCTATTATCTCACAGCTTTTATCAATATTTGATCTATTTACTTCCATTTTAATAGTTTCATTTATTTCATTATTAACTGAATTATTTGCTTCTACATCAAAACTCTCAACATTTTGATTATTTTCAGGTCTTACTTCACTTTTAATAACTCCCATGTTTTCATTTGTCTCTGAATGCCTTGCTTCAACTTTAATGTTCAATTCTGTCTGGATATCGTTCTGGTCTGATATAAGTTCATAAAGAAAATGTTCTTTTCCTGTTTCATTATTGTCTTTGGGATAACATAGTGATATTATATCATTGGCTTTAATATGAGTGGGCATATTAAATGGAATACGAACATGATTAATAAAAACACCATTAGTACTCTAAAAATATACATATGCACCCATTCATTAAATTGATTATATATTTGGGCAATAATTAATTAGTACTTACAGTATCTGTGATATAGAGTTGCCCATTTGAAGTGGTGATGTGAGCATGATTCTTTGAGATATTAGTAACTGGACAAATAATGTCTGCACTTAAATTTCGGCCAATTTTAAATGGAAAGTCTACAAGTTTGTATGAGGTTTTCGCCGAGGTAAGTTGGTTTAATGTCCACCCCATGTCGATTGAAATTCTGCAATAGTTTGATGAAATAAATGAAAAGTTGTTTGTTATGGAATGATTTTGGAGGTTAGCACGTGCCTTTTGAACAATAAAACCGTATTAAAACATTATTTAATACTACTATCTAATATAACTAATAGATAATAATAGATAATAGGATATCGAGATTGTGTAACTCACTAAATTTGGTAGTTATTGTAAGGTGTTCCCGCTTCCTGACTAATTTCAACCATAACTTTTGAATGGTGTTACGCGCGCGAATGTCAACTTAAACTTAACTGAGTTGGACTTAGGCTTAGGCAAAAAATATCGATATATCAAAATATCGATATTTTTTCAGAAAAATATCGATATAAATCAGCGATATTTTTTCCCACGATATATCAACTATCGATATTTATTTTTAGGTATCAAAATCGATATATTTTTTAAAGCTCTGCTGTCTGCTCATGCGTCACATCATGTCTTTGACCAATCTGATTTCTTAAATTTAGTTTGGTTCGGTTGGAATCACTGACTGCGTGTGTTGGAGTGTTGGTACTTGGTGTGGCGGCCTCGCTAGAGTAAATGCATTCTATGGTGGCGCCCGACTGGCGAGTAAGCTAACTAAGCGTAGCTCATTGCTATTTTTTGTTATTTATGCTGTGCCGAATGATAGGAGCAGATTAACAGGCGAGCACATCAAACAAAGAGTGCTCTTGATGTCAATATCAGACAAATACTGGCTGGTTTGAATAATGTAATTTTTGTAATTTTTGCTTTATGTACTTATTTTTTTAATAATAAAACTGATGTCAAAACAGCCAGATGTGTATTTGCTTTAAAATTTCGAATATTTTGACAATTTTTATAGATAATTGCTTATCGCGCAGAAAATATCGATATATCAACATATCGATATTTTTTAGTCAATTATTATCGATATATTTTAAAAATATCGATACGATATATATCGATATTTTTTCCCCATTTGCCCATTCCTACTGGGACTGAAAGCATAACAGGAAGTGGACTTTTTATGAACATAGATTTTCTCAAATCTTTCGTTGTTTCTTATTTTTGAGAGATATTATAGAAACCGGAATTTTTTGCTTGATTTGTATTTGTTATTTTTTAAATAAAGGGATATAGTGAGATAATTCATAAATTATCGGCGGACGTAAATTCTGCGTAATCAATATAACGCCACCCATGTTATAAATTCAGATAAAACCACAAAACACGTGACTCAATTTACTGGAATTCGAAATAATTTTAATTGCACACACTTGGGTAATCAAACAATCAATAAAAATTCAACTACTATATGCAAATCAATTTGTAAAACATCACGACAACTGCACAGGTAAAATATCGGGTATGGTGAAGTTCTTTTCATTGAGCACTAAATTTGGTGTCACAGTCATAGGTGCCGATTTTTGTGGAGTCGGCTTTTCCCATCTGCAGCATATGATATTTACTATCATAAGAATGATTCTACTAATACAGCCTGGAACAAAAACACAATATCACAGAAACCATTTAAACATTTGAAATAATATTTAAAGAAAAAACATCACTAACCTGAGCAAACATAGATGCCTCCAACAATACAACACAACTTCGCAATAAACATTCCCAGATGATCTCGCTCTTGATTAATAGTCACACGCAATGCAGCCACATCATATTTGAAAAAAATACCTGGCATTCCATGACTACCATGACCATGATCCAATGGTCTATTTAATTCCTTTACACTGTATTGATAAGTTTCGATACTGCGCAGGAATGTTCGAACGCTTGTGGGAACAACTTCAATAAAATACTGGTATAACATTTGATCTAAAAATAACATTTTTAAAACTCATTTTAAACCGCAATAAATAAAACAACTTACGACTTGAAGCAATATATTCATCACCCTCAAGAGGATGAATTATTCCAGGACTAGGATGTCCAAATGACAGCCTATCAATTCGATGCGTGAAGTTATAATCCTCTTCTGACATAAAAGGACTCAGATGAATGTGACCCCTTGGCAAGTTTAGGCTTTTTCCAGCAGTAATATGAAAATTTCCAGCAACTTTATTCAATGTTAAGGAACCATGAACTCTGCAAGCATCATGAGGGCGATTTGGAATGTGACTTCTCGCCGGCATGTCATTTGAAGTTTGACTAAAACTTCTCCTCCATAATAAATCCTAAATTTAAGTTAAATATTACAATTTTTACAAAAGTTTTAATTCACATAAAAACAAAATTACTTTTATTGCATGATATTCTTCCCTCAAATATGAATTAAAATGTTGCTTGTTCTCAAAGTGTATCCTTTGATTCGGTGATAATTCATACCAAGTGTCTTCTTCTTCTAATTGACCAAACATGTATGGATTCTGATTTGTTGAATCCAATATATCTGCACCCAAATCTAAAAAATGACATTTTCTTAGTTTATCACATCTTAAATTACATGTAACTTAAATATCTAAAGTTCTTTAAAGACTACTTACTTTGGCAAGGCATTGCAACAGTTATATCAACATTTATTTGCAACTTTTCATCTATGTCTGCATCAGGAGCGAACCGGAACACAAACTTGCTGTCCATGTAATACTTAATCTCAGAATATATTAACCATGCTATTATTGAGAAACTGACTAGAGATACTAGAAATATTATACATTTTAGTTATTTACGTGTTTAATTTAAGTTATAATTCTTACATGTGCCTCCTACTTTTGAAGTTTCTTTGTAGGTATCTTCAACCTTTGGAAACAGATCTAATTCTTTTAATTTACTAACTTTTGAGCCTCTAAATCTAATGGACACCTTTTCTGGTTGACCGGTGGACATGATTTGTGATTATTATATGATATTAATAATTTAAAACTATCTATTTCGGATGTTTATATCATTTTCGCATTTCAACTCTGGTCGGAAATTTTGTTGACGTCGATTTGTTGTCGTCGCATAAACGTCACAGATTCTCCAACCTCCAAGGTCACAGTTGCCAGATCTTCAGATGTCAAATCAAAGTTTAAACCAAACGCGGGAAATTTAAACTGAAATCAACCCGCCTGTGGTTTCTAGTAGCAATCGAACAATTTGAAACAATATAAATCAGTTATATTTACACATGACATTTGTATAACTTGCACGTGTACAGTATTAAATGTTAAAATTGTAAAATAACTCTATTTCACAATTTGTAATAATTTAAATCCGTACATATTTTATTACCGATTTTTAACTGATAATAAAAGATAATAAAAGATAATAAACTATAAAAATATACAATGGCTGAAGAAGTGGACGAGGAAAGCCCTCTGCCATCACTGGACATCGATGCAGAAGAAGAAGAGGATGAAGAAGAGGAGAATTTAGATGATGACAGTGAACGCCTTAAAGATGACGCACATCAAGCAGTTGCAAACTTTCGAAGCAATAAATATCGTGGGCATAATTTATCAACCGTCAGCCAAATGGAAAACATAAAAGAACGACTAGTATGTAAATTCATTACACATTTAAAAAAAAAACTAAACTCATATTACTATAGAACAAATACAAAGAAAATCGACTTGCACGCCTCTCGACGCTGCAACTACCACATCGTCACATCATCGAAATGGTGGCTTTGTTTCTGGGCATTGATCAAAACGAAGTAGTGGAGGGCGTTATTGATCTTGAGGCGCACGTTAACTTGCTTAATGCATTCATGAGCAAAGGAGACAAGCATGCGATTATCTTCTTTTATCAAGATGATGAGGCACCACCACTTGGTAAGTTTTTTGCCCAGTTTCATTTATTTATTTGTTTATTAACTAAATATTTCTTTAAGAAACCGGAAGATATTCAGCGTTTGTCACCGGACTGAAAGAAAAAATCGAGAAGAGAGTTTTTGTTAGCGATGGATTACATACAGCGTTCAAAGAACAAGCTGTAGTTGTTTATAAAGTCGAAGATAAAGATCTAGAAATGAGAAATTTAGGCGAGGTACAGTATTTGTCATTAAAGTTGCCTACCTTAGATTCTTACATAATAAATTTCATAATATTTGTAGGATTGCTTCTTTGCAAAACTAAATATTCAAGATTTTAACGGGAACGTAGTATCAGTGATTTTTAACCTTTTGAAGACATTGATTGCACCCAGTATTAATTTAAACAACGACTGGGGTGACCTGTTAAAAAGCGAACATGGACTCTTAATAAAACGCGATTTCATCGGCGATTTTCGACAATTTTACAATTTTATAGACAGTAATACATTTACTATCTAGTTTAATATATTATCCTTAAAACTTTACATCTTATAGCAACCAGAATTGATCTTGACGGCATTGTAAAATTCGTATACAATCAAGAATTTTACACTAACCAACTTTCATCGCCATTGTTAGTAAGGTCCACAGCGAGTAAAATCGAACATGTGCGTTATGTCGAAACTGTAGTCCGTTCCTGGGCCAAAGTAATGGAACGAGTACTCACACAATTCCAACAACTACGCAGAGAGAATGAATTTGTGGGTCCTGTGGTTGAAATTGAATACTGGCGTCGACAGCTTGCAAAATTTACGAGCATTGTTGAATTTTTAAAATCTGAACCTTGCATGAGACATGTACAATTACTTCAACAAGCAAAATCTAAGTTTTTAAAGGTAACAACTTAATTTTATAAATTATTTAATCCTATAAGTATAAATTATGCATACAGAAATGGTACAAACATGATAATGCAGTGACAGATGCCCGTAATGAATGCCAAGATAATGTTAAATATCTCTACGCTTTGGAACAATATTGGCAGCCATTATACCGTTGTGATCCTTCCAAAATCCCTGATCATCTTCCTGCACTCTTATATGCAATCAGAATGGTTTACACAACATCTAGATATTATAATAACACCGCAAACGTGACAGCTATTTTGGTGAAAGTTTCCAATCAAATGATTCAAGTATGTCGCAGTTATTTGAATTGTGACGGGACAAAAATAATATGGCGTCAACCTCGCCATGAAATAATGGCAAAATTTAAAGTCTGCTTAGACTTATACTTAAAATACTATCAATGTTTTAAACATGTTCTATTAAAAATGGAATTGGAAGGCGAGTCACCGTTTGAATGCTCAGAAATGTACGTTTTTGGCAAATTTGAAACATTTAAGAAACGCATTGAGGAAATTATCGACGTTATCGAAATTACAACAAAATATTCAATACTAGCATCTAGTACAATTGAAGGAATTGATGAATACGCAAATTTATTCAAAAAGTTTTATCTTACCATTTCGTCAAAGACTTATGATGTGTTAAATCATCGCTTAGAAGCGTTTGATAAAGATTACGATGAGTTTAAACAAAACGTTGCTGACACTGAATACGATTTAGAAGAATTTGTCGGAACAAGTTTAGAAAATTATTCGGATGTGGATAACATTTTACGCTTATTAGCGCGGTTTGAAAAGTTGAATTTGGAATGCATTCATTTAGACGAGCGATATTTGGAAGCATTTGTTGTTTATCAGTCTGAAATCGAAGAAATTCGTGATAGATACAACGAAGATCGACAAAAACCACCTTTACCGAAGAATATTCCGCCTGTTTCGGGAAGAATCATGTGGATTCGACAATTATACAAACGTATAGAAGTACCTATGAGAGTATTTCAGAAAAAACGTCGCGTAAATATTTTATTTTCGTAATTATTACTAAAAATAATAGAAATTTAATATTGCAGATTATGCGACATAGAAAAGCACAAAAATGTATTCAAATGTACAATGCCCTATCAACAGTTTTTGTTCACTATGAGCAGATTTATCATGACGCATGGTTTGATCATTTGTATCAAGTCCGGAATGGTCTAGGTTCGCCTATTTTAATGAAACATCCAAAAACTCGACGTTGTCTTGTTAACTTTGATGAATATATCATAGAAGCAATCAGAGAATCTGAATACATGTACAAATTAGAATTGGAAGTACCAGATGCAGGGCAAATATTAGTTTTCTGCAAGGATAAAATTTTAGAATCTTACGAGTTGATTAAAAATTTAATCAAACGACATGATTCTATCAAAGAAAATATTCCGCAACTTTTTATACCTTTAATGAAATTGACACTAATAAAAATGGAGAATATTTTCATGCCGGGATTCTCGACAATTACTTGGACTTCGATGAAAATTCCAGAATTTTGTGATGAAATTACTAAGTTTTTGGATCATATTGAAGTGTTTGTCAAGGAAGTAACTGATATTAAAGAAGCTAGAATTGATGAGATTCTAGATAGTATTAGTCAGATTAGTTTGGTTTATTTACCAACTGAACCGGTAACTCCAGCGGAATTTTTACAATTAAACATTGAACATAGAGAATCAATTGGTAGGATATGCAAAATTTTGTTTTTATTTAAAAAAAGCTAAAGTGTTTTATTGTAGTAAGAGAAATTGAACAGAAATCCAGCACTGCAGAGAAAGCAGTTGTGGAGTTAATCGATAAATTCATGGATGCCATCAATGATCCACACCTACAAGAAGGAAAATACGACTGGTTGGACCCCGAAAGAGTTGTTAAACCTGTAGGATCATCATCCAAACTTATAATGGCTAATGAAGATGCACTTTTTGGTGATATCGACCGTAATCAACACATTGACATATTTTCTATACACTCAGACTGTGTGGAAATGTTTGCTTATTTTAATATGAACATGACTGATGCTTTAGTAAAATGCACTAAATCTTCATTGGAAAAGATTAAAAAACGCGCTGCTAATTCAAATATTGAAGATATGTTAACTACGCTGCCTATTATGAAGACTTACATGGAGTTGCAAATACCTATTAATATGATAATACCTACTTTGGATCAGATTCAGCAGCACTTTGCTATGGTGCTGAATAATATTGTGGCTACTCATAAGGATATCGTGCAATGGGGACAAAGATATGCACGTGAAAAGGTGAAGAAAAAAGGTGTGGTTATTGCTGAAAAGACTGAGTTCACCACGGCTGCTGGGTTTATAAATTGTTATAAAACCGTGTCGGAACATAAAGAAATCGTGAGGATTTTTATGGGTCTTCAAGGTGTTATGTATTTGTTGAAACCTGATGTTTTGAAATTATTGGAAGTAAGTAGAAGTTGTGAATTAATACATTCTTGTTTTGAATTACTAAAAGTTTGCAAAAAAACTACAATTGCTAGTCAATTTATCTTATATTTTCTCAATTAAGTTTTATTTTGTCCACAAAAGTTAATCTCGGGGGGTTTTAATGAGTTTTAATGCCAATTTCAGTAAGTTTGTTTATTTGTGACGCTTTCACGCAAAAACTACTCAACCAAATTTGATAAATTTTTGAATCAAAGTAAATTTCGCCATGGAAAATAACATAAACCACCTTTTATCACAAAAATATAATTATCAAGGTATAAAATAAGAGATGAAACTTAAGATAGAAGTTAAATCATAGTTCTAATTACATAATTCATACCTAGATGTCGTTAAAATCTGCATCATCAAAGAAAAGTATATTTATTTAAATTTTTATTTTAGAGCTACTTAGAATATTCTTATCTCTGGGTAGAAGATCGTGATGAACAAATAGCTGAATACTGTGCAGGCAACCCACTTGTAGTAGAAATCGCTGAACGTTTCACTGCTTACGATGAAAGAGCAGCCAATATCCAAGCTCTACCAGAGTATCATGACATTCTTGCAATACGTATTATCATGGGTACAATTCCAACTAACAATTTTTCCCCACAAACATTAAATTTTTATTTAAATTTATAGAAAAATACAAATTAGCATTATTAGTGGAGTCCAACGCATGGAAACACGTCCTGGGCAAGATTCTCATGCATCAATACAAAGAAAAACTAATGGAAATGATTGACTTCATCAAACAACAAGAGAAAATCCTAGCTAAACCTATCAAAGACCTAGACGATTGTCGTCTGGCTATGAGTTGTCTAGAAACCATCCGAGAAAACTTTATTGACATGGATATGCAATTAGAAAGAATGGAAGCTGCTTATGCAACATTCCTACGCTTCAAAATTGATGTCCCCAAAGAAGATATTGAAAGAATTGACACTCTTCGATATAATTTCACTACAATGGTCAATAATGTAACTAAATTCATAACATTCTTCAAAAAACAGATTCTAACTCAGTTAATTTCAGTCAAAAGCCGTTCAAGAACAAATTTGCTTGGTCCAAGGTCCCCTCCAAGACGAACTCACAGCAGGTGTCGCTACTTTCCTTCAAGATGTCCTCGATTTCGACGTGGACTTTGAAGAAAACGGTCCGATGGTCCCCGGATTGGAAGCAAGAGAAGCCAGTGATCGAGTTTTGATGTTCCAAGCACGATTTGATGAATTATGGAGACGTTTTGAAATGTACAGCAGTGGTGAAAGATTATTCGGTCTCCAAGTCAATGACTATCCAATTTTACACAAAAGAAAGAAAGAATTTAATCTCCTAAACAAATTATACAGTCTTTATATAACTGTAAACACAAGTATTGATGGATATTCTGATTTACTATGGGTGGACGTTGACACTGAAGTCATAATGGCGGAATTAGCTGAATTCCAAAACAGATGTCGTAAGTTACCAAAAGGTATGAAAGATTGGCCTGCATTCCTTGATCTTAAGAAGAAAATCGACGACTTTAATGAAACTTGTCCATTGTTGGAACTTATGGCAAATAATGCAATGAAGGAACGTCATTGGTTGCGTATTGCTAAAGTATGCAACTATGACTTTGATATCGAATCACCTACTTTTTCACTGCGAGACGTAATGGAAGCTCCGTTATTGAAATTCAAAGATGATGTTGAGGATATTTGTATTAGTGCTGTTAAAGAGAAAGATATCGAAGCAAAACTTAAACAAGTTATTGCCGATTGGGCTGTTGTAGAATTATCCTTCACTACCTTCAAATCAAGAGGAGAGTTACTTCTTAAAGGTCAAGAAACTTCTGAAATCATTGCAGTTCTAGAAGACAGTTTAATGGTAATGAATTCATTACTAAGCAATCGTTATAACGCACCATTCAAGAAAGATATCCAATTATGGGTGACCAAGTTAGTAAATACTTCGGAAGTGTTAGAAAAATGGATACAAGTACAGAATTTATGGATTTACTTAGAAGCTGTGTTTGTTGGTGGTGATATTGCTAGACAACTCCCGCAAGAAGCGAAACGATTTCAGAATATCGATAAAAGTTGGGTGAAAATTATGCTCAGAGCTCACGAAATACCAAATGCTGTTGAGTGTTGTACATGCGATGATACTATGTTGACTTTATTGCCATATCTTTTGGAACAATTGGAGACTTGCCAAAAGAGTTTGACTGGATATTTAGAGTCGAAACGTTTATGCTTTCCAAGGTTCTTCTTTATCTCTGATCCTGTGTTATTGGAGATTTTGGGACAAAGTTCTGATCCACAATCAATTCAACAACATCTACTCAGTTTATTTGATGCTGTATACAGGGTAAGTCAACATTACTAACAAAAATGTCCAAAAATAATTTTGATGTGTTTTTACAGGTTGATTTTGATCCTGAAAAATCTGACGCTATTCTCGGCATGCGTTCAGATTTGAACGAAGTGATACCATTTGAGAAACCAGTTCATTGCGTAGGTGGCGTTGAATTATGGTTAAATTCTCTGCTGTCCATGGTAAGAGACACAGTGAAAAACGTAATCGCTAATCAGTGTCAATGTTTAAAAGATTCCGACTATGATTTTATCAAAGGTTTTACCGCATATTGTGGACAGGTACATAAACATTAAACATTTGTTAACAAAAAAAAAATTATTACATTATGGTTTATAGGCTGGTTTAGTTGGTATCCAAGTGTTATGGACGAAAGAAGCTGAACATGCTTTGCGTAAAAACAAAGTAGATAGATACATCATGAAGCAAACAAACAAACGCTTCCTGGATTTGCTTAACTCATTGATTGACTTAACATCCAAAGATTTGTCTAAACTAGAACGCATCCGGTATGAAACAATGGTTACAATCCACGTACATCAACGTGATATCTTTGATGATATTGTTAAACTGAAAGTCAGAAATATCTTGGACTTTGAATGGCAGAAACAAGCACGGTTTTATTACAACGAAGAAAATGATGAGATAACTGTAAAGATTACAGATGTGATATTTATGTATCAGAATGAATATTTGGGTGTGACTGAACGATTGGCCATTACTCCTTTGACTGATCGGTGTTACATTACTTTAGCTCAAGCTATATGTAAGTTTTATTGGTAAAATTTCTATTCAAGAGGGTTTTTAATGTAATTTTAACAGGGATGAATATGGGTGGAGCACCTGCTGGTCCTGCGGGTACGGGAAAAACGGAAACCGTTAAAGATATGGGCAGAACCTTAGGAAAGTTAGTTGTGGTGTTCAATTGTTCTGATCAGATGGATTTTCGTGGACTGGGAAGAATTTTTAAAGTGAATAATTTATTTAATAAGGAATTATCAGGAGATTTTTAACCTTAATTTGATTCTAGGGTTTAGCCCAGTCTGGTACATGGGGATGCTTTGATGAATTCAACCGGATTGAACTTCCTGTGCTATCAGTAGCTGCCCAACAGATTTATATTGTGTTACAAGCTCGAAAAGAACGGAAACCAGTTTTTCTCTTCAGGTACCATAAAATTTACTAGTTTTTAAATAGATCACATAGAAATAATGGAAAATAATGTTTTTGGTTGAGAGAGATTCGTATTAAATGCTAGTTGCTCTTTTATACCTGTTGAATACCAGAAAAAAAGTATAGGGAAAGGTGCGTTGTTGATAGAATAACGTATGTGATATCACACCTTCCCCCACTCCTTTCTGCGGGTCGCCACAGACAGAAAGAGCATATATTTTAACTATGAATGTTTATAACGTCAATAAACACGCAATATTTATGTTTCCAGTGATGGTGATTCGGTTACAATGAACATTGAATTCGGAATTTTCCTAACCATGAATCCTGGCTATGCTGGTCGTCAAGAATTACCCGAAAACCTAAAAATCATGTTCCGCTCAGTCGCGATGATGGTCCCCGATCGACAAATCATCATCCGAGTAAAACTCGCGTCGTGCGGTTTCAAAGAAAACGTTATTTTAAGTCGAAAATTCTTCACTTTATACAAACTCTGTGAAGAACAACTATCTAAACAAGTGCACTATGATTTCGGCCTACGTAATATCCTCTCATGCCTAAGAACTCTAGGCGCACAAAAACGTGAACATCCAAGTGACACCGAAGAAACAATTGTTATGCGTGTACTACGTGACATGAACCTTAGTAAACTAGTAGATGAAGATGAACCTCTCTTCTTATCTCTTATTGAAGACATGTTCCCTGGTATCAGGCTACAAACACACAGCTGGAAAGAACTACAGAAAGCTATTGCAAATCAATCCAATTTAATGGGTTATATTAATTATTCCACATGGAATTTGAAAATTTTACAACTTTTTGAAACAAGTCTTGTGAGACATGGTCTTATGAGTATGGGACCAACAGGTGCTGGTAAAACATCATCAATGCATTGCTTGATGCGTTCGCTGACTGAAATGGGTAAACCACATAAGGAAATGCGCATGAATCCAAAAGCTATAACCGCACCACAAATGTTTGGTCGCTTGGATGTAGCTACTAATGATTGGACAGACGGAATATTTTCTACTCTATGGAGGAGAACACTAAAGGTCAAGAAAACCGATTTTGTTTGGTTAGTTCTAGATGGACCAGTGGACGCAGTGTGGATCGAGAATCTTAACTCTGTTTTAGATGATAATAAAACACTGACTCTTGCAAACGGTGATAGAATTGTGATGGCACCAAATTGCAAGTTGGTGTTTGAACCTGATAATGTGGATAATGCTAGTCCTGCAACCGTGTCAAGAATGGGTATGGTTTTCTTAAGTTCGTCTGTATTACCATGGACGCCACTATTACAAGCTTGGTTGATTACGAGACCATCGCAGGAAGCTGAAGTCCTTCGGAATTGTTTCAACAAGATTTATGACGATATGCATACTTTTGTACAGTCAAGACTGAAGCCTAAAATGTTTATTCTGGAAGCGTTATATATTCGACAGTGTTATGATATTTTACAAGGAATTATTGAATCAAGCACAGAAGAAAATAGTATGTATACTTACAACTTATTATTTTATCTTGTTTTAAATGCGGAAATTTGTGAAAATTGATGTTTGTTACTCTTTCACGCCTAAGCTTTTGGACCAAATGTTATAAACTTTTGTATATAGATAGATTAGTTCTTGGAAAAGAATATGGGATACTTTAAGCCATAAAATTATAATATTAAGGGTGTAATATAAGGGTTGAAAGTCTGTTTGAAGAATAAATTATATTTTTCGACTCAAGATGATGCTAACTGTGCGGAAAACTTCTAAGTAATACCTTTTTCAACATTTGCAGAAGTGTTAACTGATCGTCATCTAGAACATCTTTTCCTATTTGCTTGTATGTGGTCACTTGGAGCTGTCCTAGAATTAGAAGACCGCACAAAACTAGAAGAGTTTGTTACAAAGCACCCGTCCAAAATGAGTTGGCCAAAAGTTCGCGAAAATGAAACAATCTTCGAGTTCGTCGTCAATGACAACGGCCGTTGGCAACATTGGTCCGAGCGCGTTGAAGAATTCTATTACCCACCGGATCAAATCTTAGAATATGCAAGTATTCTAGTCCCTAATGTAGACAACGTCCGAACAGCTTTCCTAATATCCACAATTGCAAAACAAAACAAAGCCGTTCTCCTTATCGGTGAACAAGGCACAGCAAAAACTGTAATGATAAAGGCGTTTACCTTACAATTTGATCCGGATTTCAAACTATTCAAAGCTTTCAATTTTTCATCTGCTACCACTCCAAATATGGTACAAAGAATCATTGAATCCTATGTTGATAAAAGAGTCGGGACCACTTATGGTCCCCCAGCGGGAAAATCCCTCACTGTTTTCATTGACGATATCAACATGCCTGTGATTAATGCATGGGGTGATCAAGTAACCAATGAAATTGTGCGCCAGTTGATGGAGCAATCGGGTTTTTACAGTTTGGATAAACCTGGAGATTTCTCTACGATTCTGGATGTATTGTTCTTAGCAGCCATGATTCATCCAGGTGGTGGTCGTAATGACATACCAAATCGCCTCAAACGACAATATTGTATATTCAACTGTACACTGCCGAGTGTGAGCTCAATGGATCAGATTTTCAGTAAAATCGGTAAAGGATACTTTTGCGACGAACGCTTCCAACAATGGATAGTCGACTTCATACCAAAACTAATCCCACTTACACGTCACCTATGGCAAAACACAAAAATCAAAATGTTGCCGACACCAGCAAAGTTCCATTACGTATTTAACTTGCGTGATCTTTCACGTATTTGGCAGGGGATAACTTACATCACAGATGAAGAATTACCCAATTTGAAAGTGTTACTACAACTGTGGCAGCATGAATGCACCAGAGTAATCTCTGATAGATTTACTTGTGAAGCAGACAGAGCTTGGTTCTTTAGCAATATCAAAAAAGTAGTAAATGAAGAACTGCCAGAATGCCTCGAGGAATTTGACCCGGAACCTATATATTTCGTTGACTTTTTAAAAGATCCTCCAGAAGCAACTGGTGATGAACCAGATGACTTCGATTTTAGTGCACCGAAGATTTATCAAGTCATTCCAAGCTGGGAGTTTGTCAAAGAAAGATTATTCCAATTCATGGACGGCTATAATGAGACTGTCCGCAGTGGTCAATTGGATATGGTCTTCTTCATGGACGCCATGATACATTTGTGTATTATATCAAGAATTGTACGCACACCGCGTGGAAACTCCATGTTGGTCGGTGTGGGTGGATCTGGCAAACAAAGTTTAACTAAGTTGGCAAGTTACATTGCTAATTACAAACATTTCCAAATACAACTTACGAGATCTTATAACAATAACAACCTTGTGGAAGATTTTAAATATTTATACAGAGTTGCTGGCTTTGAAGGCAAAGGCATCACTTTTATTTTTACTGATAATGATATCAAAGAAGAAACTTTCTTGGAATACTTAAACAATGTGTTAAGTTCAGGAGAAATAGCAAATTTATACGCTAAAGATGAACTGGATGAAATTCAATCTGAACTTATACCTGTCATGAAGAAGCAACAACCGAAACGTATCCCTACAAATGATAATCTGTATGATTTCTTCATTTCAAGAGCCAGAAATAATCTTCATGTGGTTTTGTGCTTCTCACCTGTGAGTGACAAGTTCCGTAGTCGTGCAATGAAGTTCCCTGGTTTAATATCAGGCGTGACTATGGATTGGTTCTCAAAATGGCCACTGGATGCTCTGATCGAAGTTAGTGAACATATTCTGCTTAATTTCCCGATTGTTTGCACACCAGAAGCAAAGCATGAATTGATTCTGATGACTTCCGAAGTTCAGGACTATGTTGGAGATGTTTGCATTAATTACTTTGACAGATTCCGGCGACAAACTTTTGTTACACCTAAAACATTTTTATCATTCCTGAGTAGTTACAAAGCTTTATATGGTGATAAACATGAAGATATTGAGGTGTTAGCTGTGCGTATGAAGACTGGACTTGGTAAACTGGTTGAAGCAGGCGCTAGTGTTGATATATTGCGGAAGGAACTAGCAATAAAAGAAAAGGATATTGTGCTCGCTACCAACGAAGCTGAGAAGGTTTTGAATGTCGTTATGGAGGCTTCTGAGATAGCGAATAAAATCAAAGAAGAAGCTACTGTTGTAAAGGAAAAAGCTGAAGTATTAGTAGCTAATATCAGTGTGGATCAACAAGAGGCTGAAACTAAGTTAAAAGATGCAAAACCTGCGTTAGACGCAGCTGAGGCAGCTTTATTAACAATCAAAGCGGCGGATATTGCAACTGTGCGTAAATTGGGCAAACCTCCACATTTGATTATGTTGATCATGGATGCCGTGAATATTTACTTCCGGAAGAAGATGGAACCTATTCAGGTTGATCCAGAGAAAAAGTTCCTTGTTACATCTTGGAGTGAATCCCTTAGAGTAATGGCAGATACTAAATTCCTACAAAAATTACAAGAATATCCAAAGGATACAATCAACGGTGAAATGTTAGACTTGCTAATTCCTTACTTTGACTTCCCCACTTACAACTACGAAGCAGCCAAAACAGCTTGCGGTAACGTAGCTGGTTTGATTTCATGGACAATTGCAATGGCATCTTTTTATAAAGTAAACAAAGATGTCTTACCACTGAAAGCTAATTTAGTCAGACAACAAGCAAAACTAGACAAAGCACAAACCGAACTGGGTGCAGCTATGAAATTACTGCAGACCAAAGAAGCAGAAGTGAAACAATGTCAAGAAAAGTATGATGCAGCAATGACGTTCAAACAAGCTGTTTTGGATGATGCCAATAAAGTCAAATCCAAGATGGATGCCGCAACTGCTTTGATTAATGGCTTGAGTGGTGAACGAGTTCGTTGGACAGAACAATCAGCTCAGTTCAAAGCGGAAACAGAGCGTTTAATCGGTGACGTTCTGATTTTGACTGCGTTCTTGGGCTATGCAGGTCCATTCAATCAGGAATTGAGAATCATGATGCAGAGAGACTGGAACAAGATGATTCTTGAACACAAGATTCCTGTTTCCAGCAATATAAACGTGATTGAGAGCATGGCGGATACAGCAACTGTAAATATAACTAAATTAGTGTTTATTTAAAATTATTTTCCATATTTATGTATTTTTTTGGTTTAGATTGGTGAATGGAACTTGGAAGGCTTACCAACTGACGAGTTATCCATTCAAAATGCAATCATTGTGACGAAGGCAACACGATTTCCTTTACTAATTGATCCACAGAATCAAGGCAAGAATTGGGTTAAAAACAAAGAAATGAATAATGACCTTGTTGTTACTGCATTAAGCCATAAGTACTTCAGGAATCATATTGAAGATGCAGTGACTCTGGGTCGTCCATTAATCATCGAAGATGTAGGTGAAGAATTGGATCCTGTATTGGATAATGTCCTGGAGAAAAATTTGATTAAAATCGGCACAATGTACAAAGTTAAAATCGGTGATAAAGAAGTTGATTTCGTGAAAGGCTTCCGAGTTTATATCACTACCAAATTAGCCAATCCATCATACACTCCTGAGATCTTTGCGAGAACTTCAATCATTGATTTTACTGTAACCATGAAAGGTCTTGAAGACCAATTGTTAGGCCGTGTGATTCTCAGTGAAAAACGAGAGTTGGAAACTGAGCGTACAACATTAATGAAAGATGTAACAGCAAACAAGCGTAAAATCGGTGAATTGGAGCAGAATTTGTTGTATAAACTGACAACAACTCAAGGAAATCTCGTTGAGGATGAATCATTGATTGGTGTGTTGAATATCACCAAAAATACTGCAACAGAAGTGCGTGAAAAGTTGAGTATCGCCAGGGAAACTGAGATTAAAATTAACGCGGCCCGTGAAGAGTTTCGACCGATTGCAACACGCGGGAGTGTGTTGTATTTCTTAATTACCACTATGGCAATGGTAAACTGCATGTATCAAACATCTTTGGTGCAGTTTTTGGAACGCTTTGATCTTTCCATGTTAAGATCGGACAAGAGCAATGTTCAAACAAAGTATAAACTTGTTTTTGTTGATTTACTTATTACCTAAAACATTTAAAACATTAATTTAACTTTCAGACGAATCAACAACATAATAGAATACTTGACATATGAAATCTTCAAGTATAAATCACGGGGTCTATATGAAAGGGACAAGTACATGTTTGTGTTGATGATGACTCTAAAAATCGACTTACAACGTGAGCACATCAGTCATGAAGAATTTAGTATTTTCATCAAGGGTGGTGCCGCTCTGGATTTAAATACAGTTGCACCAAAACCTGCCAAATGGATTCTGGATATGACTTGGTTGAATTTAGTTGAACTATCGAAACTACGCCATTTCCAATACATAGTCACTCAAATTACAAACAATGAAAAACTGTGGAAATCATGGTTTGATAAAGATATACCTGAAGAAGCACCTATTCCAGATGGATATAATACTTTAGATACATTTAGAAAACTGTTATTAATTCGTGCATGGTGTCCGGATCGTACATACACACAAAGCAAAAAATACATTGCGTCTTCACTAGGACAAAAATATGCAGAGCCTGTGATCCTGAATCTGAATACAATGTTAGAAGAAAGTCGTCCAATGACGCCAATGATTTGCTTTTTAAGTATAGGCTCTGATCCCACACCGTACATTGAAACATTGGCAAAACGAGTTGAGAATAGAGTGAAGACTATGTCCATGGGGCAAGGACAAGAAGTTCATGCAAGGAAGATGTTAGCTGAAGCTGAATCAGAAGTATTTGATGAGAATTGTATAAATTTGTGAATTTTTAACTAAAATTTTACATTTTTCAAGGGTTTTTGGGCTTTGTTACAAAATACACATCTTGGATTGGATTATATGGATGAAGTTATGCTAGATTTTCAAGAGATGGAAAAGGCCACAAATCCAACACATCCAGATTTCCGTCTGTGGATTACAACGGAAGTACATGATGATTTTCCGATTGGTTTATTGCAGATGTGTATTAAGTTTACCAATGAACCACCATCAGGTTATTATAAACTTATATTTTTACTGCAAAAACAATATTTTTACACAAAAATTGTTTGTATCATAGGAATTCGTGCTGGATTGTTAAGAACATACACGTCTATGAGTCAAGACATGTTGGATTATTCTGATCAAGCGGAATATATACCACTGGTCTATGCAATATCATTTTTACACACCGTTGTTCAAGAGCGCAGGAAATTTGGGCCTCTAGGGTGGAATATTCCGTACGAATTTAATTCGGCTGATTGGTTGGCCAGTTGTATGTTTATACAGAATCATCTGGATGATTTAGATCCTATTTTGGGAATCAGCTGGACTACAATACGGTAATTTAAATTTAAAAAGAATTACGTACATAAAATATTAAATACATGTGAAATTTCACTAGATACATGCTTGGAGAAGTACAATATGGCGGAAGAGTTACCGATGACTACGATAAACGCTTACTAAACACGTTCGCCAAGGTGTGGTTCAGTGACAAAATGTTCAACGACGATTTCCAGTTTTATAAAGGATATAAAATCTACAAGTATAAACAAGTCACTGATTATATAACTACAATCGAGTCATTTCCGGGTGCTGATCCACCTCAAGCATACGGATTACATCCAAATGCAGATATAACGTAAAGATTTAATTTTAATATTTAGAGCATAAATTATCAACTTGCATTTATAGCTTTTCCTCCAATTATTGCAACGCAATGCTGTCAACAATATTATCAATTCAACCGAAAGATGCAAGCGCAGGAGGTGGTGAAACGCGAGAAGTTAAAGTCACACGAATTTGCTTGGAAATGTTGAGTAAACTGCCGGAAGATTATGATCCATTCGAAGTGAAAGAACGCCTTCGAATAATGGGACATTTAAACCCGTTAAATATCTTTTTACGCCAGGAAATTGATAGAATGCAGCGTGTTATCTTGTTAATTCGCGTCACCCTGAAAGATCTGTTATTGGCCATTGAAGGCACTATTATAATGAACGAGGTATATAACCTATATCATTAACTATTTTATTTTGTGCTATAAAATAATTTAATACTAAATATTTAGAGTTTGAGAGACGCTTTGGATAACATTTTCGACGCACGCGTGCCCGAAATCTGGATTAGAAACTCCTGGTCAGCTACAAGTATAGGTTTCTGGTATTCTGAAGTAATTGACAGAGATCAACAATTCCGCACGTGGTGTTATGGTGGCCGTCCGGTGATTTTCTGGATGACTGGATTCTTTAATCCTCAAGGCTTTTTAACCGCAATGCGTCAAGAAGTTGCGCGTGCACACAAAGGCTGGGCGCTTGATCAAGTAGTTCTACACAATGAAGTTTCCAAAAATATGCGCGAAGAGATTAAAATATCACCTCCGGAGGGTGTGTACGTCTATGGTCTGTACATAGACGGAGCTGGTTGGGAGCGCCGGCATTCACGCTTGACAGAATCAACAAACAAAGTACTCTACACGCAATTACCTGTTGTACACATTTTCGCAATATTCTCAACCGCAGCGAAAGATCCAAAACTATACGCCGTACGTGAATATGCATAATATCAATATTGTTTTATTATTCATTCATTGCTGATACACAATTTACTTCAAATGATTATGATTTTTAGTGCCCGGTATATAAGAAGGCGAATCGAACAGATCTGAATTTCATCACACCATTATGGCTGTGCACGGTGAAGCCACCCGAACATTGGATATTGCGAGGCGTTGCGTTGCTATGCGACACATCGTAAATGCGCACAACGTAAAAATGCACTCCCTGTGGTTGTTTTTAAGCTAAATTAAAGGTATATAAAAAATAAATGGCAAAACTTTAAAAGCTGCAGTGCTTCTCGCGAGGATAATGAATGACGAAATCAGTTCTCGGCGGCGGTCAGCGCCATGACGGTGAAATTGACGTCCTCGGAGTCTCGGGCCACAAACTGTTTGCATACTTTTGCTGCGTCCTGTATCATAGCCATTTATAACATGATTTCGTATAAAATGTATGAATATTTACCTCTAATAAAGTCTCCGGAGTAGTTTTACCATGATTAATCGGGAATTCTTTCCGCCCGTCCAGTTCGTATAAATCGCCATCTTTGTGAACAAATGCAATGAAATGATGATTGACTTGTTCATTGGGATTCAATTCAGTCTGTCCCTCCTGCGCCAATTCTTGGTGCATATCCTGAATGCCAGCTGCAACTGCCTGCAGTTTTTGTCCGCGTTCCAAAGGAGATAACGTCATGGATTCTTCCAGTAGTTTTTTGAAGTTCTCATTGGTCACCTGTAGTCTGGAGACAAATGACAGAAACATTGATCATAAATGAATAATATAGTGTTTTGACCTTAGGAAATCAATACATAGAAGGATAGTACAGCCATAACTTACTTGTCTGAGTTGTTAGCAACACAATGAAGCAGAGCAATTGTTCCACAGGCATTTGACACCAACTGCTTTATGTAATAGATGCTATCAGACACAGTCTGGCCTCTTTCTTCTATTTCCTTCTGTTCTTGAGTTGCAAATTCATGATACTAATAGAAAATTAAACATATTTAGTGGTATTTCAAGTTATGAATCGATTCTAGGCTCATACATTCATATAATAAAGTATAAAATGTCATATTTGGCACTTTTTCCAAACAAATTTTAAGAAATTTCGTTTAGTTAATATTATATATTGTACACTTTGCCTTTTTATGTACTGATGTGGTTTATAAATTCTTGTTATTCTATATTTATCAAGATCAAGGCAACCATTGAAAGAATTTATTGGTAAATCTATAAATAAAAACTTACTTTCTCACTGCAGGGAAAGAGCAAAATAACTGACAATACAGGCTTAGGCACCCAAGCAAGGCACTCATCATCCAGGCCGAAGACATCCACGACTTTCCATTCCGACGACACGCCCAGCATTTGCAAGAACTGCAATTGTGCATATTATATTTCAACCGGCTTCATAGTAAAAGTGCATTGTCGGCAGATTGAATACAAATTTGTCAACTCACCTTATTCATAACCTAAAGAAACAAATAAAATAGTTATTATTGAAGAAAGTACGTAGGTTCTGCTTATACTTACATCAGGATTGGATTCCAGTGGTAGCCAAGCCATTTTATCGAAGTAGTAAAATGTATTTAGACGAGAATGATTTAAAAATGACGAATATTTGTTGTTAGCAGCCCGGCTCGAACAGCGGCTCGATTTAGACTACCCGCTACACAACAAACATAGCAACACTAATGAGCACAGCTGAAATCAGCAGGACAGCAGGAAAATCAAAGACAGGGCAGGCATTACACCAAACTAACCATAATCCGTTTAATTTTACGTCTAAATTAAGAAAACAAAAGTATTCTGTCGTAATTTGTATTTACTGTTTGATATTTACATATCTGATGCAATAATATATGTGAATGCATCATAAACATACACAGCTTGAATATCAACAAGTTATAAAATGCAAAAATGCATTTCGCTTGTGTTGTAATTGGTTGAAAGTCCATGACTGGTCAAGAAGTGGGGAAACATTTGCGTTTGCGCTACATTTCGTTTCCGCGGTACATGAACGTGAAATTCCCACCCAACACCCGAAAACACGACACGAAATATACAACAGTAAATTATTAACTGTTTGTACAATTATATTTAACCCAATTCTTCGAAATACTACAACTTACGTGTTCGTATAGCCAGGATTATCATCAGCGTTGATATATTATATCTTTCGGTAAGCGCTATTTACACGTACACGATAGCATATTTAACGACCTTTTATTGATTTGTTAATCTTTCGTTTTTGTTTTACTGAAATACTAACTTTTATTTTATTATCAGGGAATAACTGCCGAAAATCAGTATTAAAATGACGAGCACACATGAAATCTACAAGAAGCAAAGAACTTCAATGCAAGTGGCAACTAATGTAACAGAACAGAAACATCATGTATCCAGAGCAAAACGCGGTCAAATCCTGGGACATCTCCGAGGTTTCAGAGGATGCACAGTTTGGTTTACAGGTTTATCTGGAGCTGGCAAGACATCAATTGCTTTTGAGTTGGAAGCATATTTAGTATCACATGGAATTCCTGTCTATGGTCTTGATGGTGACAACATGAGGACAGGTCTGAATAAAGATCTTAGTTTTTCCAAACAGGACAGAGAAGAAAACATCAGGAGGGTAGCAGAAGTAGCTAAGTTGTTTGCTGATGCTGGGCAGATTTGCCTCTGCTGTTTCATATCTCCATTTGCTGAAGATAGGGATTTGGCTAGGATTATTCACAGGGAATCAGATCTGCCATTTTTGAGGTGTTTGTTGACACCACTTGAAGTGTGTGAACAGAGAGACACCAAGGGGTTGTTGTATGTAAAGGCAAGGAAGGGTGACATCAAGGGTTTTACTGGAATAGACCAACCTTATGAGACCCCAGAACATCCTGAGCTTGTTGTCAAAACAGTGTCTTTGACAGTGGAGGAAAGCATGCTGCAAGTGGTGGAGATGTTGCAGGAGAATGGGATTATTCCAAAGGAAGTTATTAATCAGGATGTGGTGGAGGAGTTGATTGTTCCTGAAGAAAGATTGGCTGCTGCTAGAGGAGGGGCTGCTTCCTTGCCTGGAATCGATATTAACTTGATTGATCTGCAATGGGTCCAAGTAAGTGAAATTTTCATGTTTTTCTTTAGAATTATATACATAACTGCAAAGTTTATGTTCATATCACAACATAGAGTCAGTATTGACACTTTAAATGTTGCTTTATGTTTTTTTATTCACTATGGTAACCTGATTGTTTAATATTTTCAGCAATACTTACACTTTATGCTTAATTTACCTAGTTATTTGGTGATGTCATTTGCTTGCGTAAAATCACTGCACTTCACATGAAAGTTGATACGACATTGAGCATACTCGAGCGCCGTACGCACGTTTTCATAACTCTTATCAGTTTGCGTCGTTGGCAACAGATTAGTACATAAAAATTTAATTGCTATTCATACAATTTCACAAATAATGCAAATGGGAACATTTTTCGTTTTGCTTTTTCAATTTTGAATTAATTTACAAAAACAAACAATACAATTGTTTTTCTTTCATAATTTGTAAATTTTTGTTTCTTAAGGTATTAAGGTTACCACCACCAAAGGCTTCATGAGAAAACGAATTTTGCAAACCCTCCTTAATTTCACTTCGCAACTCAACGGCAAAACGCCATCAATCAAAAGCATACCAATAGTATTACCTTGCACAGCAGAGGACAAAGGAACGCTTGAACGAAAACCTCGGGCATTTCCTTGTATTACAACGGGTGGCATTTGGTGCGTGGCTATTCTTCGCAAACCCAGCTTGCAGAACAAATTACCGTGAAGGGAAGAGCGCCGCGCTCGGGCCAATTCGGCACCACTAATAAGAATCATCCGCATATCAAACTAATCATGGAACTGGCGACGAAGTTAGCTGGAGGTGATCTCGGAAGTCCTCCATCGTATTCGCAGCAAATGATGGTTTAGATGAGTATCGCTATGACGCCCAATGAACTCCGTGCGAAGTTTACAAGTAATGCGCGCCGATGCTGTGTTTCAGGTTCCAAACTACGCAACCCACCCACAATGGGTGGGCGTAAGGTTACCGCCGTGACACCAAACGACAACTTCAAGAACGCGGATTTAAGCGTCCGGTGCTACCTTGCATCCACTGGGTGGCCGGGTGAAAGACGACGATGTCCTCACCGCCAGAACGCATGCAACAACATCAAGCCAAGGTCAGCGGATGAAGGTCTACTGGACGCACAATCAACTGTCTTAGCTATTTTTCTCCCAGTCCGATGATGTATGCGGGTCCTACTGAAGCGCGCAATGGCACGCGGTGCCCGGGCGAAACGCCGGTGCTAACTTTACATAGTTGGGCGTGATCCAGCCGGCGTGCCGCATCCAGATGGAAAGGAAGCAAGTCTTGATGGTAATCTATATGATGTCATGCATGGCGGGCGTGTTTTTAAAGATGGCGCCTGGCTTGTATTTTCATTGGAAATCATTCCGTTCCGCGTGGCAGCTTACGACAAACGCTATCAAAAGAATGGCGTCTTTATCCGGAGCAGAAAGACGATTTTGATTTCATTTCAGGCACAAGAATGAGTGGTTACTGGCTCGCAGCGGGGAAAAATCCTCCGGATGGTTTCATGGCACCCTAGTGCTATGGCAGGTTTTAGCTGGGGCTACTATCAATCTTTTGCATTTATAAAATGCATTTTAACACAAACATATATACAAACTCAATCTTAGTGGATATTCCACTCTATTTTTAACTAATGATATACAATATTATTGCAATTTGTTAACAATTTCAAGGAGGGTACAGATTTTATTAATTCATGCGTTTAATTATTTATTTTTAATTCTGAATTGAAGATTTTATCATAGAGTTATATTTGAAACAATTATATATAACATTAAATGTTGTGTGAAGCAAAGAAGAAAGCAATTGGTATCATGACATAACTTTAGTTAACGTATTTAACACGAGCGATAAAAGTTTTAATCTGCATCGGTTTCAGGGTAATGTCCAGAGAGTTTTCGGTTGACTCATTTGGGGAAGCGTAGTTATACCAGTTTAATCTCTGCGAATCTTGTTTACGTGCATTGCCAGCAAGGTTCATCTCTTCCAAGCTCAGAATTTCAAAATGTACGAACAAATTCTGAAAGAAATTTCATCAATTATGTTTATAGACATGTTTAGTTTCTTTGTTTAGGTTTTTTTTATAGAAAATACTTACTTTGACATTCACAGTTTGTGTTTCACCAATATCAGAAGGCAAGAAGTTCTCTAAACGTAGCAAAACAGTATTTTCTTCTTCTGCAACAGGCTCCAAAGTCAATACTCGAGTGCTTTCCGGCAAAGGTTCATTCAATCCAATGAACTAAAATGTAAATAGTGAGACAGTTGTAACAACTAAGTCTTAATTTCA